CCCCAAAACCCCAAAACCCCAAAACCCCAAAACCCCTCAAATTTTAAATTTTTTTGAAAATTCAAAAATGTACACTTCCACAAATAGCCAAAGAGAACCCATACCTTGATTTGAAAAGATGAATTCCATCCTTGATCAAGAGATAGTGCATGTTGACCAGAGAGCTTCCTCAAGAGGTGTTCAAAGACATGTTTCTAACTTTAGCACACATTCCAATTCATCAAGGGAGGATTTTACCTTCAGAGATGGAAAAAATAGACCTAATTGAGACATAGAAGACCCCTTTAGGCCAGAGCCTGAGATCACTGAAATGAAGAGGCTTAGAGAGAAAGTGGAAAGACTTGAGAAAGCCTGTAAATAAATCAACCAAGATCTGGAAGAGGTGTGAGACCAAGTATAATGCATACCTCACTGGGGATAACAAGGAGAATGTAAATTCGTTAAATTTCACCCAGACTAAGATCAAGCCAACCAAGTTTGCCAAGGGCCGACCAAAGGCCAAGATAGTTAAAAGGCCAGGGTCAGCTATCAGGTCTGCTAAATCTCTTAAGTCTAGTAGAAGCAAGAGCCGAAATCGTAAGATTTAGCCTGATTTTGGTATAGTTAAAGCACCCAACCAGGGATATGACCGGAATGACTTCTGAACTACTTCTAATCTTCAATTCTCACGTAAAAAATTGTCTAAAAAGGAGTCTCAGAATCATAAGCTCCAACAAGAGATTAAAAGGTTCGAAATATTGCTGTTACGACTATTTTTCTATTCTATTTCCCTAAAATATTTCCAAATCTGTTTTCCTAGTTCTGAGGAATCCTCAATTAATAACTCCTCTAGACTCAAAGAAAAGAACAAGAAGTGGAAGAACAAGTACAATAACTTAAAGGACGAGCATGAGAAAGTAGTCAACTATGTCAACATGTATTTGGCTTATCAACAGCAAAATTATTAAATCAACAGAAGAAATTATTAAGGGGTTTTGGGGTTTTGGGGTTTTGGGGTTTTGGGG